TGTTTTGTTAAGGCAGAGTATTACTCCATGTTCTATGCTGGTACTGGTACTCAACTCTTGGGCTCAAGTGATCTTCCTACCTCAATCTCCTGAATAGCTGGGACAACAGGGACACATCTCTGGACCAGGCTTGAGATTCAAATTCTCAATTCCTGCCATAGCCCTGAACATTCTCAGCAAGCCCTGTCCCCAGTAGATCCACCCTCCCTCACCTCCACCAGCCTCCTTCCCTTTACGGGAGGGAACCAGTGTCACCTCAGGGCCTTTGCACTTGCTCTTGTTTCCACTGCCCTCTTTGGGAAGGCACGCCCTCTGGAGTGGAATGTAACTAGAAAGCTGGTTTCTCGGGCTGGGAAGGTGACTCAGTGGTAGAGCGCTTGTCTTGCATGTCTGAGGCCCTGGGTTCGATTCCCCAGCACCACATAAGCAAAAAGAAAAGCCGGAAGTGGTGCTGTGGCTCAAGTGGTAGAGCACTAGCCTTAAGCTGAAGAGCTGGGGACAGCGCCTAGGCCCAGAGTTCAGGCCCCACGACCGGACCCAAAAAAAAAGAAAAAAGAAAGCTGGCTTCTTGGGCATTGCATACGTAGACTGGGTCATTCAAACGGGCAGAGCTGACGTTTGATGCTGATGTGGGTGAAGTGGGCCTTGGCCGGGTAGGCTGGGTAGAATGACAGCCTTTCAAGGAGAAGAAGAAGAAGAAAAAAAACAGATGCCTGTCTGGGAAGCATGGGTCAAGTGGTAGGTAGCCTCACCTCGCAAGTTCAAGTCCCAGCACTACCCAGAAATGACATATGAAGGGCAAGGACCCACAAGTTTACTTGGCTCTTCACATCTCTTGTGCGGAGTCTGCAGGGCCGGCCTGGGACCAGCACCCCTGCTGGGCTGGGGCCACCTTGGCACCACCGCCAGGGCCTTGCCTTGTGGGACACTTGCAGTTTGCTGCTTGCATCTTAGCCTGTGCAGTACCAAGCAGGTGCTCTCCTGCTCAGCCACACCCCCCACCCCAGCAGACACGGCGGGAAGTCCAGGATCAGAACACCAACCCCACATGGAGTGTCTGCTGAGGGATCGGGACCCTGTTCGTGTCCTCTAGACTCCCCCTGACCTCCTCTATAAGAGCATCTTCCCAGCTGGGCCCTGGTGGTTCACACCTGTCATCCTAGCTGCTCAGGATGTTCAGAGCTGAGGATCAGGATTCCAAGCCCGGGCCAGAGCAGGAAAGTCTGTGATACTCATCACCGCCAGTGAACCAGCGAAAGGCTGGAACTAGAGGTATGGCTCAAGTGTAGAGCTGGAAGCCTTCAGTTGAAGCCCCAGTACCAACACCAAAAAGAAAAAGAGCCTCTTTTCCCACTCAGATGGAGCCATTGCGATCTGATGGCCTCTCTATTCCTTCTTTTGGGACAAGGCTGACCTTGGACCCTCAAGTTGTCCTCATCAGACTTCCAAGTGCTTGGCTGTGTTTTGTGTATTTATTTATTTTCTTGGCATTTTTGGGTGGACCCCTTGCCATGCTAGGCAAACACTGCCGCTGAACCACATCAGGGGAGCCTCACGTCTGTTGCCCGCCTGGCCTCTGCTGGGGGGTGGGGGGTGGGGGCTGTCTTCCCACAGAGACAGGGGCCCCCCTGCCAGTCCCTGCCACAGCCAAGAGCAGCGTAATGAGCAGTCATCTAGGCCCCGGCACCCCGGCGTGGCTTCTGCTCCCATCGTAGACATAGAGTTGGAACTGTTTTTTGTTTTTGTTGGTGGTGGAGCTTGAACTCAGGGCCTGGGCCCTGTCCTTGATCTTTTCTGCTCAAGTGCTCCACCACTTTGAACCACAGTGCCACTTCCAATTTTCGGTGGTTAGTTGGACATAAGAGTCTCACCAACTTTCCTGCCCTCCTGGCTTTGAACTGTGATCCTCAACTTTCAGCCTCCTGAGCAGCTAGGATTACAAGCATGAGCCAGCAGTGCCTGGCAGAGTTGCAAGTTTGTTTTTTGTTTTTTGCCAGTCCTGGGGCTTGAACTCAGGGCTGGGCACCATCTCTGAGATTTTTTTTTGCTCAAGGCTAGCGCTCTACCACTTGAGCCACAGCGCCATTTCCTGCTTTTTCTGTGTATGTAGTACTGAGGAATGGAACCCAGGGCTTCATGCATGCTAGGCAAGCACTCTACCACTGAGCCACCTTCCCAGCCTCCAAGTTGTTTGTTTTGTTTTCTTTGGATGGTCATGGGGCCTGAACTCTGGGCCTGGGCGCTGCCCCTCAGCTCTTCAGTTCAAGGCGAGCGCTCTACCACTTGAACCACAGCATCACTTCCAGATTTTTCTGCTTATGTGGTGCTGAGGAATCGAACCCAGGGCCTCAGGCATGCAAGGCAAACACTCTACCACTGAGCCACCTTCCCAGGCCCCTAGTTGAAAGTTTTTAAGAAGTCTGTGTGGTCCAGGCTGGCCTCCAGCTGTTGGGCTCAAGTGCTTCTCCTACTGCAGCCCCCTGAGTAGCTTGGGGCGGGTGCCATTGCACCCCACAACAGCTGCCAAGTGCTCATGGTGCCCAGCCTGGCCCTAGGAGCAGGGGACACAGCGGTGACCTCTCAGGAGCTGACCTGTACAAAGGCACATCCCGAATTGCTGGGCTTTGGGGAGTTGCGGGTGACTGGCAGCGGGGGGGGGGGGGGGCGTCTTGGGGGCTCGCATGGCGGGGAGGAGTGGAGGGGACAGCAGCTCGGCCTGTGTGGGTGGGCAGGGCCCTCATGGATGGAGCTGTGTGCAAAGCGCTTGTAAAGTTCTAGCAGGAGGGCTAGAACTTGGGGCAGGGGCTTTTGCAGGTTTGGGGGTGCCAGGCACGCATGGGGAGACCTTAGTGAACAGATGGTGGTTTGAGCCCTAGGGCTCCACTGTGAGAATTGGGCGAAACCAAGTTCTTGATGTAGGGTACACCAAGGCTGTTTGGGCCCGCCCCCGCCCCCCCAGACCAGTGCCACAGCACATGGGTGTGTGTGGGTGGCCGCGTGGAGATAGTCGTGTCCACACAAGATGGTGAGCCCCAGAGACAGCGCCCAGCGTCCTGCAGCACTTGGCAAATATTTGTTGAGTGGCTGTTGGGTGGTCATGGGAACCGCATCATGGCCTTGGATCAGGCTGGGGGACGCCCTCTGCGTTGGGAAAACCCCTCTATCCCGGAGAGGGGCTAGGGCTGCCGGTGGCCCCCTGCCCTTCGTCTCTGGTAGGGGGCCACTATGCCCAGTTTGTTTATTTACTTGTTGCCAGTGGTGAGAGTGTTTTTCCTACCTAGGTACTTCTGTCTGTGGCACCAGCTCTGCCCTGGGTTGGTGGTTTTGGTGGCACTGGGGTTTGAACTCATGGCCTTGAGCTCTCCGACCAGGCCATACCTTCAGCCTGGGTTTTTTCTGATTATTTTGAAGATTGAATCTCTGGACCTTTTGTTGTTGGTGGTGGTGGTGGTGGTGGTGGTGGTCCTGGGGCTTGAACTCTGGGCCTTGGGCACTGTCCCTCAGCTCTTCAGCTCAAGGCAAGGGCTCTACCACTTGAGCCACAGCACCACTTCCAGTTTTCTGGTGGTTCATTGGAGATAAGAGTCTCACGGACTTTCCTGGCCAGGGTGTTTTTGAACTATGATCCTCAGATCTCAGCCTCCTGAGTAGCTAGAATTGCAGGTGTGAGCCACAGGGCCATTTCAGTGGGCTTTAATAAATTTAGTTACATAGCTACTGCCCTGGGAATCCTTCGGTGATGGTTGGATTATGTGCCCGTTGGTCCTAAGCCGCCCCTAGTGCTCCTGCCCACTGGCCGCCACTGCCTATGCCATCCTGTTGGATTTGCCCATTGCCGGTTTGGGTTTGCCGTGGCGTGTAACTGCGGCTGCGCGCTGCAGTCCTTAATCTTCAAGCATGTCTGTGTTGTGGTGTGGGTCACCCTTTTTTTTTCCTGACCAGATCATACTGTCTGGCTGTCACATTTTTGAAAACGCTCCCGTTGAGCAGATGCGTGTAGCTTTCCTCCACTGCTTCAGCACCATTTTCCCGTTGGGTTTCATTCCTAACAGAGCCATGGCTGCATCCGGTGGCAGTTCTGTGTCTGGCCATTGGGGGAACTTGAGGCCGGTTTCCCACGTGGCTGCCTGCCCCACTTTACGCTCCCCCGGCCAGGCTTGGATTTCCCATCTGGGGACACTAAGCAGTCCTGCGCATGCGTACCTTACCTGCCTGTATACAGAAGCCAGCCAAGCCAGGGCGGCAGGGTCTGGTGCTCGAGATGATGTCTGTCTTGGGTAATGCCCAGAGGTGGCAGGCACCCGCACAGGGACCCTGGCTGGGTGGTCTGTATCACATGGGTGCCATGGGGGGTTCAGGAGCCTTCCTGGCAGCCAGGGGCTGATCCCAGCCATCTGGCGCCCTCGTAGCTTTGCTGACTCGACAGCACTTCGGGCTCTCCGCGTCCGTGCGTTCCATCCCCTCCCAGCCAACGCGGCACACACCCAGCCACGTGGGTCGTGGCTCAGTGGTGAGCGTGCTTGCTGAGCATGCACAATGACTTAGGACCCAGGCCTAGCACACCCCCAGATACGTTTCCGGGATTGAAAGGATTCAGGAAAACAATCATGTCTGCAAGGGACAGACAGGTGCCGAGGATGGCCGTTCAGAGCCAGCCCAGGCAGGAACGGCCAGGAGACGCTTGATGACCTCTAGCTTACCAAACTGGAAGCCGAGCTCTGGCTCCATGCAGCTAGGGGCCAGCCGTGAGTGAAAAAGCAGAGTAAGACCACGAGGCCCAGAGTTCAAGCCCCCAGTACAACCACCAAAGACAAAAAGGCCCACTGGAAGAGGCCCGGTAGCTTCGATGAAGGGTCATGTGCACCCCAGTCTTGACACCCCGGGTGCCTCCGCAGACCCCAGGGGGAACCGCAGAATATGGGGCAGGCCTTGTGCGGGAGGGCTCCGGTCCCAGCTGCCTGATCCCCGTGTGCCCTGTCTCTCCCTGTCCCCGCCCGCAGCGGCCGCCATGGCGCAGACGCTGCAGATGGAGATCCCGAACTTCGGCAACAGCATCCTCGAGTGCCTCAACGAGCAGCGGCTGCAGGGCCTGTACTGTGACGTGTCGGTGGTGGTCAAGGGCCACGCGTTCAAGGCCCACCGCGCCGTGCTGGCCGCCAGCAGCTCCTACTTCCGAGACCTGTTCAACAGCAGCCGCAGCGCGGTTGTGGAGCTGCCGGCCGCCGTGCAGCCGCAGTCCTTCCAGCAGATCCTCACCTTCTGCTACACGGGCCGCCTCAGCATGAACATGGGCGACCAGTTCCTGCTCATCTACACGGCCGGCTTCCTGCAGATCCAGGAGATCATGGAGAAGGGCACCGAGTTCTTCCTCAAGGTCAGCTCCCCGAGCTGCGACTCGCAAGGCCTGCACGCCGAGGAGGCCCCGTCGTCGGAGCCGCAGAGCCCGGTGGCGCAGACGTCGGGCTGGCCGGCCTGCAGCACGCCGCTGCCGCTCGTGTCGCGGGTGAAGACGGAGCAGCAGGAGTCGGACTCGGTGCAGTGCACCCCCGTGGCCAAGCGGCTGTGGGACAGCGGCCAGAAGGAGGCCGGGGGCGCCGGCGCGGGCGGCAATGGCAGCCGCAAGATGGCCAAGTTCTCCACGCCGGACCTGGCCTCCAGCCGGACGCCCCAGCCGGCCCCGGTGGCGGCCGCGGCGGTGGCGGCGGCGGCGGCGGCCGGAGGTGTGATGAGCGGGCCCAGCACGTCGGAGCGGACGAGCCCGGGCACCTCCAGCGCCTACACCAGCGACAGCCCCGGCTCCTACCACAACGAGGAGGACGAGGAGGAGGACGCGGGCGAGGAGGGCACCGACGAGCAGTACCGGCAGATCTGCAACATGTACACCATGTACAGCATGATGAACGTCGGCCAGACAGGTGAGCTGCTGCGCGCATGCGCGCCCGCCTGCAGAGCGCGCCCGCCCCGCCCCCTGCGCGCTCGCGCGCCCCGCCCCGCCCCCTGCGCGCTCGCGCGCCCGCCCCGCCCCCTGCGCGCATGCGCGCTCGTGCACCCCCCCCCCCCCACCACCCCACCCATGCGCACACCGCTCTGTGCAGCCGAGAAGGTGGAGGCGCTCCCGGAGCAGGTGGCTCCCGAGTCCCGCAGTCGCATCCGGGTCCGGCAGGACCTAGCGTCTCTTCCCGCCGAGCTCATCAACCAGATCGGCAACCGCTGCCACCCGAAGCTCTACGACGAGGGCGACCCCTCTGAGAAGCTGGAGCTGGTGACAGGTGCGGCGCCGGCGGGCGGGGCGGGGCGGGCCCGGGGCTCCGCAGCCTCGCTGCCCGGGGCTGAGGCCCAGGCCAGCCCGGGCTGCGCAGTGAGACCTCGATGGGGTGAATCATGGGCCCTGAGGCCGGGAGCTGGGGACGTCCTTCCCGCCCCGCCGGGGCGAGCTCTCCCGTCCGAGCCCCGCGGGTCCTCGCCGGGACCCTGAGCCGGGTGGGGCGGGCGCGAGGCGGGGGCAGCAGCGGGGCGCGCCGTGACCCCGGCCGGCCCCCGCAGGCACCAACGTGTACATCACGCGAGCGCAGCTCATGAACTGCCACGTCAGCGCGGGCACGCGGCACAAGGTCCTGCTGCGGCGGCTCCTGGCCTCCTTCTTTGACCGGTGAGCGCCTCCCCAGAGCCCCGGGCGGGGGCGGGGCCCGCCTCCCGCCTCCCAGCTCACTCCCGCCCCCCCAGGAACACGCTGGCCAACAGCTGCGGCACGGGCATCCGCTCGTCCACCAACGACCCCAGACGCAAGCCACTGGACAGCCGCGTCCTCCACGCCGTCAAGTGTGAGTGGCCGCGGCCCCCGCGGGCCGGGGAGGGGGCTGGACGGGGGGCAGCGCCGAGGGGGGCAGGGAGCTGGCGGCGGAGCCAGCAGCCCGCCGCCGCCCCCACGTCCGGCGGGGCCCGGCCCGGCCCTGCGGTCCCTGCTGCACACAGGGCCAGGTCTGGGCCTGAGCCCGCGCCGCCGCCCTGTGCCCGCAGACTACTGCCAGAACTTCGCCCCCAACTTCAAGGAGAGCGAGATGAACGCCATCGCGGCCGACATGTGCACCAACGCCCGGCGCGTGGTGCGCAAGAGCTGGATGCCCAAGGCCAAGCCGCTGCACCTGGCGGAGGGCGACGCCTACAGCAGCTTCATCGGCGACTCGGGCAAGATGGAGCCCGACATGATGGGCATGGAGCACAGCTTCGAGACGGCCAGCCACGACGGCGAGGCCGGCCCTTCGGCAGAGGTCCTCCAGTAACCCGGGGTGCGGGGGACCCCGCGGTGGGGGGGGCGCCACACACACCCCTCCCGCCACTCCCGCCCACCCTGGTCACGAGCTACTGTCTGCCCCTCCCCAGGACCCTCGGGGGGCGCTGCATGCTCCCGGCCCCTCTGCCTCCCATCCCACCACCCCTTCCCCTGCGAGCCGGGGCCGGCGGGTGGGGGGCTGGGGGGGGGCGTGGGAGGCTCTGGGCCCCCCAGGCCCGCCCAGGGAGGGGCGGGCCTGGGGGGAGGGGGAGAACCGCTGCCCCCCCCCTCCCCAGCCCCCTGGGACTCGGGACCAGGGTTCTCAGGACCCTCCACCTCCTCCCAGTGCTTCCAGTCTCCAAAAGCGCCTTCCTATCCCCCGGGTCCTTCCCTCCGCGGGGCAGCTGGGGGAGGGCTCCCCCACGAACCCTAGGGTGACCCCCCAGGCGGCCAGTTGTGCCCCCAGCGTGCGGAAACCCCCGCAGCCTCCGGCTCTGGGAGGGTCTCGGCGGCAGGACAGGCCTCCCGTGCCCGCGGGCCCGCGTGGGTAGACGGCTCGAGTTGAGAAAGGCGCCGTAGGAAGGGCGGTAAGACCAGGGTTGGGGCGCCCGGCCCGCCCGCCCGCGGGGCCCGGCCCCCGCCCCCGCCCCCTGTACATACTTTTTAAGACATTTTTTTAGCGAATGAAATATTGAAGTATAAGATTTCCTTTTATTTTTCAAACCAACGGGACTGTGTCGGGGCGCGAGGCAGGCCAGGGCTGAATGTGTGCGTGCCCGGGGGGTGCTGCCCCCCGGCTTCCGTGGGTCCCCAGCTCCCCTCCACTCAGTGATGAGTTCCAGGGCGCCGAGGGCCACCGCAGGCCCCCGGCTGGCTGAGCCCACCTGGATTGCTCTCGATCGTTCCTGGCTCTTCTCTCCATTCCTCTCTTCCCGCCCTCCCAGAGCCAGGGCTCGGCGCTTGGAGTCTTCATGTGAACGGAGGGCTGTGGGGTTTTTGGTTTTGTTTTGGGGTTTTGTTTTTGTTCTTAATTCTTAATTCCCTCCCTTTGAGTGTTGCTTCCTCATCTCTGGGTGCCCCCGCCACCCCCACCCTCAGCTCCCACCTGCCCTCGGCTGCAGCCACCCCACTGAGAGGCGGGGTCCCCTGGTGTCCACTTGTCATGGGGGTGGGGTGTCAGGGCTGGCTGGGGCCCCAACACCACAGCCCCAGGTGGCCTGAGGGGGGGTGGACGCCCCAGCTAAAGCACAAGCACCTTAGTCGCACCCTCCCCCGGCTGATCCCAAAGCACAAAATCCTGCTCACTTGGCAGGCCGCGGGGCGGGCTGCGGAGTAGACACCCCCAAAAGAGGCAGGGGCTCCCCCCTCCCAGGCCTTAGCGGGGGCAGTGGGGGGGGTCCTCCTGCCCGTCCAGCCCTCCGAGCCCCTGCAGTGCCGGGCTGGGTGGGAGGCACAGCCCACTTGTCGTGGGGACCCCGGGGTGCTCCTGGCCCCAGGATGCGGTGGAGGGTGCAGGGGAGGAAACTCCGTGCTAGGAGAGCCAAAGACAGGGTTGTGCCTTACCCCCGGAGCCACCCCTGCACCCACCCCCCGCCCCTCCCAGTGGCCAGCTGCGCCCCCCTTCTGAGCTGCATGGTGCCCCCCTCCCTTCACACACACCCCCTCCCCCCCGGCAGCCAGGAAAGACTAAAATGGAGAACCCCGTCTAGCCGACTGTAGGCCCTCCCCGCCTCGCTGGCCGCCCTCGCACCCAGCACCCACCTTCTCTTCCCTGGGCCAGGCTGCCCACCTGCCCGGGGAGTGCCAACACCCCCCTCCCGCCCTCCCCGCCCCGCGGCGCCAGTGAGATTGCACATTAACTACTGTAAGGAGAGGAGCGCGTTGGAAATGTGAACCAGAGTCTCAGCGATGCTGACCAGAATAAACTAAACGCCTTTGTAACAGCCCTGCTGCATGCCGCTCATTGGGGGGCGCCGGGGGCACCCCAGCTCCCACCTTGCTGTTGCCATCTCTCCCTCCGGAGCTGGGTCAGGGAGGTCTGTGACAAGCCACACGCTTTGTGTGTGTGTCCGTGTCCGTGTGTCCATCCTGGGGTTTGAACTCATGGCCCCAGCTCGTCACTGAGCTCTTGCGCTCAAGGCTGGTGCTCAGCGCTTGGCTTGTGCTGTCCTGGGTGGCGTTTTTGGTGGGTGTCTGGGCTGTTGGCACCTGAGCATTTGTCCTGCCAGCTCTTCCACCTGGGCTGCCCTGGAGCCAAGGCGCTCTGTCTCCACCCACTGCACAGGTAGGATTACAAAAGGGAGCCACCAAGCTCAGCCAGTAGTGTTTCACGCAGCTGGAACCATGAGATAGAAACCACCTCAGGTTCAAAGCGCTGAATGCCGCTGGGCTTGTGCCAAGGGTTAACAATGCTGTCAGGAGGGAGTCAGGTGCCTCGCACCTGTAATGCTCCTCAGTAGGCTGAGATCTGAGGATAGCAGTTTGAAGCCAGCCTGGGCAGGAAAGTTCCTGAGACAATTACTTCCAGTCCACCAAAAAAGCCATAAGTAGAGCTGAGACTCAAGTGGTAGATCACCAGCCTTGAGCACAAAGTCTTAGGCAGTGTTCAAGCCCTAGGCTGACTTCAAGCCCTGGGACCCCACACCTAGGAAACAAACAAAAAGAGGTGTGGCTCTAAGTTTGTAGTCACCCCACCCACCTTATGAAAGAAACACAAGCTGAGCCCGCCAGGGGCTCACACCTGTAATCCTGGCTACTCAGGAGCAGAACTGGAAATCAAAGTCACGGTTTGAGGTCAGCCTATGCAGGAAGATCTGTGAGACTCTTACCTCCAACCAACCAGTAAAAGGCTATAAGTGGGCCGGGTGCCAGTGGCTCGTGCCTGTAATCCTAGCTACTCAGGAGGCTGAGATCTGAGGATCACAGTTCAAAGCCAGTCCAGGCAGGAAAATCCACGGGACTTTTTTCTATCAGCTGCAGGCCTTGAACTCGGCCTGAGCACTGTCCCTGAGCTCTTCTGCTCAATGCCAGTGCTCTGCCACTTTGAACCACAGTGCCACTTCTCTCCAATAAACCACTAGAAAACCAGAAGAGGTGCTGTGGCTCAAGCGATAGAGTGCTCGCCTGGAGCTGAAGAGCGCAGAGACAGCGCCCAAGCCCAGAGTTCAAGCCCCACGACCCACGAAAAAAAAAGTCTGTAAGTGGAGTTGTGGCTAAAGTGGAAGCACCTGCCTTCCCTGCGCCAGCACACAAGCAGGAACACGTCTACAAAGGTTAGAGTTTGATTTGCAAATTGGCACGTAGAGAAGGCACAGGGAGAATGCCTTTGGGGTCTAGGCAGGCCATCCCCCTCCCCCACGAAGCACCTTTGACCCCGGACCCATGGCGGGTGGAGACGAGTGTCCCACTGGCTGTGGCTGACAGCCGGCCGGGCGCTCCAAGCCCCACTCCCTTTTCCTTGGGGGAGTGGGGGCAGGGAGCAGACCCCAGCCCGGACCCGTCAAGAGGCAAAGAGCAGGACAATTAAGAAAGCCACTGTCAGATGGCACCGTGATGGCACAGCACAGTGGCCAATCTGAGAACAAAAGGGTCAAAAGTCACGGGGACCCAGCACCCCACCCCCCATCTCACCCTGGTCACACGGGTCACCTTGGCCATCTTCCCAAGGACCCGGTCCACCCGCCAGTGAAGCGGTCCATCTCCCGAGCACAGCCACCCAGTGCGCTGCCAAAACCAAGATGCCATCAGCCCCCCCCCCCCAAGCCAGCTGGGGCCACCCAAGGTGCCCACGCCAACCCCCAGGTCCTGGCTGACCTGCTTTGCTCCTCCAGCCCCTCCCCCACATGCTCTGACACGCTGCAGGACCTGGATGCTTCCAGACAACATGTCCAGCTGGTACATGAGCAGCTGCATCATGGGGGGGGGGACCCGAGGGTCCTTCGCAGGCTGTCACCCTCCCCCTCCCATCCCAGGGCCCCCCCCCCGGCCCCCCACGCAAGCCTGCTGGCTGGCTGGCTCTTCCAAGGAGGGAGAGGCAGCAGAGCTGCCCTGGCACCCACGAGGTCGCGGCAGGACGCGGGACTCTGCGTGGAGAGGCCGCGGCCCAGGACGCGAGTGGCCAATCCATGCCGGTGTGACTAGGGTGCAACCACTTCCCCAAAGGTGGGCAAAGATGGGTCCCGTGCCCCTCTCCCCTCCCCTGTCCTCGTTGTAAAGGATGGATGAATGAGCTCATCTTGGGGAGCATCAGCGAGCTACCCAAGCGCTAGTAAACCTTGCCTTCTCGTTATCTTGCAATCATTTCACGTTGCTGCCTAGCATCATGCTAGGTTTTTTGTTTTGTTTTCCTTTTGGTGCCAGTACTGGGGCATAGACTCCAGGCCTGTGCTTCTCTTCCCTTGGCTTTTTGTCTCAAGGCTGGCACTCTACCACTTGACCCACAGTTCCACTTCTGGTCTTGCCAGTTAAGCGGAGATAAGAATGACACAGTGAAGCTGGGTGCTAGTGGCTCATACCTGTCATCCTAGCTACTCAGGAGGCTGAGATCTGAGGACGGCGGTTCAAAGCCAGCCTGGGCAGGAAAGTCCATGAGACTCCTATCTCTAATGAACCACCAGAAAACTGGAAGTGGCGCTGTGGCTCAATTGGTAGAGTGCTCACCTTGAGCTGAAGAGCTGAGGGACAGCGCCCAGGCCCAGAGTTCAAGCCCCACGACCAACCAAAAAAAAAAAAAAAATGACAGCGTTTTCAGCCTGGGCTGGCTTTGAACCATGATCCTCAGATCTCAGCTTCCTGAGTAGCTAGGATGACAGGCATGAGCCACTGACGTCCATACCCGGCTGGGCTGATGTTTCTTAATGTGTAGAGAACAGATGGGCAAAGCCAGGTGATGGTGCTCAGGCCTGAAATCCTCGCTCCTCAGGAGGCTAAGACCTGAGAATCTCAGTTGGAAAGTAAGTGAAGCAGAAAAGCTGGTGAGACTGGTCTCTTGATCAGCAAAAAGCCAGAAGTGAAGCTGTGGTTCAAATGGTGGCCTGGAGTGGAAAAGCTCAGGGACAGAGCCCAGGCCCTGAGTTCAAGCTACAAGAGTGGCACACATGTACAAAAAAAAGAGGCAACCAAGAGGGAAAGGGTAGGTTAAGGTAGGCAGGTGGAGGGAAGACTAGCAGACGGTGGATGCGGAACCACTCAGACCATGTGCAGACCTGGAGAAAAAGGATGCAAGCTATGTGTCAATAGAAAGGCTATACATAGACACCCCCCCACACGCACTGAGGAAAACCAGTACATTGCAAAGAAAAGAGTGTATCCCAGCCAAGATACATTTCTCCCTCCTCATTCTCAAAAAAGATGGGCTCCAGGCCGGCTCCTGTAATTCCACCCATAACCCCAGCCATTCTGGAGCTGAAATCCGGAGGATCGGGGTTCCAAGCCAGCCCGGTCAGGACACATCAGAGATCCACATCTCTGACCCTGAGCAGGTGGAGCGGGCAGGTGCGACATTGCGGGGGGGGGGGGGGGGGGCAGGCCGGGAGACAGCCTCGCGTTTGCGCACCACGAGTACCTTTCTGTCTTGCAGGTCCCGGGCTGCGAGCTTGAACTTGCACGGGTTAGCCTCTACAATGCATGGGGCTGGGAGTCAAAGGTTAAGGGTCAAAGCTTAAGGTCCAATGCCCCCCTGCCCCTCCAGGACCTCCCCCATTCCCTCCACCCCTCAAGTCGTTCCTGCCTGTCACTCGCAGCGGGTCTCTCCCGTGGCACCCCTCCCCTGGGCTCCCCCAGGTCCTCCTGGTCCCACGCCCCGCGCCTTCCCGCAGCCCACGCCGGCAGCGGTGCCCAGACTCCCCGGCACGCTCTGGCTTGCCACCCCGACACCGGCTGGCACCGCCCCCCGCACCGTCACTCACCCTCTTCGAGACAAATCCCCCGACAGCTCGTCCGTCCGTCCCGGCGATCGCGTCCCCGCCCGCCGGTCCCCGGGTCACACCACCATCGAGAGCGAGGCCGCCAGGGGAGAGAGAGGCGCTGAAGTGTGGGCGCTTCCGTCTCCTCTGCAGCCATATTTGTTGTGGGCAAGAGTGACTTCCGGTGTGCGCACCGCGCCCCTCCTCCGGGTAGCTTTCGCCAGGGGCCAGAGTGTAAGTTCCGTCAGAAAGAGAGCTAGGATTTTCAGCGCCCTTCCCCATTACTGAAGACGCACAACCTCCAAGTTCCCTTCGGGGGCAACGTATGACTACGGCATCCTGTAAAGAAGTGTGAGAGCTGAGGAAGGGGCTGATCAGAGGTTCACTGAATCCCTGAACCCCGAGCTGGCCACCGGTGTCCCGTCCTTATGAGATCGTTCCAGCCAAGGGTCCCCCGAGGGTGGCGGCCTACGGAGGAGCGGGGCGCCCCATCTCCTCGAAGGAGCTTCTGCTGGGCTCTGCTCACTTTTCCTGTAAACGGGATACTGTGCCGTGAGGGCAGCGGGGACCCCGGAGTTGCCTGCGAGGCTCACAGTGTGCAGAGAGGTTTTGTAGACTCGAATTAACGTTACTTACACAGAATCGGGGTTCCAGCCCGAGGTTCGTGGGTGGAGATGTGGGGGAGCTCGGAGGTGGCCTCCGGGAGAGTCCCCCGCCTGTGCGCGTGCGCGTGCGCGCTCCGTCCGGGGAGGGCCACCTGCAGTATGATAGTCTCCCGGCATGGAACCTCCGGGAAAGTACTTCTGTGGGGGTGGGTGAAAGAAAGTGGGGTGCCCGGTATCCCAGCCGGGGGTTGGAGGGCATGTCTTGGGGAGTCTTGACAAGTTTTGTGTCAATCGCTGTGTGGGTTCCTACAGATTGCTTTGGGCTGGGGATGCCACTAAGTCTCCAGAATGGCTGAAGGGGTTGGGGGGGGGGGGTCGCCCCCGCGGGTCGTAGCCGGGGGGGTGGGGGGAGGAAGGGGACGCCGGCGTCTTTTCCCTACCCGGATCGCTGGACTTAGGCCCGGAATCCCCAGACTCCAGCCGGCCTGAGAAGCCCGGGGGGCGAGGAAGGCGGGGCGTGTCCGGAGACCGAGGCTCCGCCCCCGGAAGCTCGCACCACCCTCTAGGGCGATCCCGGCCCCTGTCCTTATTTGGGCAGCCGGAAGCAGCTCCGCCGCCCGCCCTGCGTCACTACTTCCAAATTTAGCCCTGGAAGTCTGCGGGCTGCCTTGGCGGGAAGGTTCTACGCGCCGGGGTGGGGGGAGGGGGGATCCCTTAAAGCGCGCGCACCACAAAGCAATGGAGCCGTTTGGAACCAAGTTGCATTCCCCGCCCCCCCCCGCCCCCCGCCACTGGAATGAAGTTGTTTTGGGAGCGGAATGCTGGGGAGCTCCAGGCCGAAGGTGGGACCTGGAAGATCGGTTTCCAGCTCCAACACCAACTCCGGCCCCCTCCCCGGGGCGGGGGCGGAGCGCGGGGCTGTCCGCCGTCGGGGGAGGGGGCGGCTGCGCGCTGGAACCCGGACGGTGTCGTCTCTGGGTGCGCTGGCGAAGGTCGGGGGGAGCTGGGGGGACGGGGCGGAAGAGGATGCTTGGGGCAGCTGGGGTGGGGGGCGAGGCGGGGGGAGGGCGGGGAATGGCTGTGCAGGATGTGCTCCTGGGTCTGCGGATATCCGCTGCCCGCCGAGCCAGCCAGAGCCTGGCGCCTAACCCTTAACCATGGCCAAACAAGGAAGAACGGCCTGGGCCGGCGGCTCGTGGAGACCGAAGAGCTCGGGGGTCCTCGCACCCTCCCCCCAGCAGCTCGCTCTTCCGTTTGCCAAATGTGGGAGCGATCGCGTCGATTTTCCCACTGAAAAAGAAAAAAACAAAAAAATAACAAGCAGCAGACACGACGGACTCCCCGCGGAGCGGACGGGAGACAGGTGGACAAAAAGCAGAAGTTCGACGGGATCTGGCCCGTCGTACGTGCACGGTAAACGTGGCAAGCACTCCCGAAGCCGGAAGACCTTCCCTAGACGGCTGCGATCCTCGCAGCTGCCACCCAGAGGGGAACCGACACGGCCTGCAAGTCGGGTCTTTCCCGGGTGCTTTCTGGAGACTTCCCGCCTGCCACACACAGGCGCCTCCCCAGGCGACCTCCACACCCGGGTGGCCCCTGAGCCCCCACCCGCTCCCCTGGGCCCCAGAACGGGGGCCTCGGTGGCTCTTTTCAGAACCAGCCTCCACCCGAGAGCTGCAGGCGCGGTGTGTGCCGGGCTCGTGCCGGGCGCAGCTCCGCGTCCGCGTGAACCCCCTCCCGCTCTCGGAGGGTAAATATCACCCTGTCGCTTTAAGGAGTAATTGGCCACGACGCCTTGGAAAGCCCGGATGCGGCCCTCTGATTGGGCGTGGCGTCCCCGTGACGTCATGGTGGGTATAAAAGGGCTCCGGTGGCCGGCGCCGGGGCAGAGCGTCTGGAGCCGCCTGGTCGCGTGCGTCGCCGTGTGGCTGACTGTGGTGTCCGCTTGCCTGGGATCCCCGTCTTGTCTCGCGGAGTTCTCGCCGCCCTCGACGGCCCGTCAGCCATGGAAGTGCAGAAGGAGGCGCAGCGCATCATGACCCTGTCGGTGTGGAAGATGTACCACTCGCGGCTGCAGCGCGGCGGCCTGCGCCTGCACCGCAGCCTGCAGCTGTCGCTGGTCATGCGCAGCGCGCGGGAGCTCTACCTCTCGGCCAAGGTGGACGCGCCGGAGCCCGAGCTCTGCCCGAATCCCGCCGGCTCCCCGGACCCTCGCCTGCTCCCGTCGCCGCGGGAAGCCGAAGCCCCGGCGGAAGCTGCGCCCCCCGACGGCGAGCCGCCCTCTCCGGAGCCCATGGACACGCAGGAAGAGGCGCCCCGAGCCGCGGAGACCCCGGTCCGCGGTGACCCGCGCCCCGCCAGAGTCAGTCGCAAGAGACGAAGCAGCAGCTTGAGCGACTGCGGGGACGCCGGGCTGGTCCCCAGCAAGAAGGCGCGTCTGGACAGCGGGGAGGAGGAGGGGAAGGCGGCGGCGGTCCCCGATCGTCTGCAGCCCCCGCCGGCCCACGCGGAGGGCGCCTTCCCCAACCTGGCGCGCGTCCTCCAGAGGCGGTTCTCCGGCCTCCTGAACTGCAGCCCCGCCGCCTCGCCGACGGCGCCGCCCGCGTGCGAGGCCCCGCCGGCCTGCCGCCCGGCGGACAGCATGCTCAACGTGCTGGTGCGCGCCGTCGTGGCCTTCTGAGGATCGGGGCGCCGCTGCCGGAGCCCAGAGCGCGCGCCGAGCCGTCGGGCGACCCGAGCGCGCAGAGCCGGGGGCGCGAGGCCTCCGGGTGCGGGGAGGCCGCGGACGCCGCCGGGAGCCGTGGAGAGGAGCCGCCGCCCGGGCTGGCGAGGAATCGCGCCCCGCCGGAGGACTCGGCCCCGGGGGAGCCTCGTCGCCCGAGGAGCCGGGGGCGCGGGCGCCTTCCGCCGAGCGCGGCGGCGCCGCCCACAGGTGCCGTGTTCAGGGACCGGGGCGCGGGCCTCGCCCCCCCCCCCCCGCCCCCAGTGCTGCCGGGGGCGGCCGCGTCCTTCTGTCCGCTCAGGACCGGACTTCGTTACTGTTGGTGGCAGCCCGGGCCGAGCCCGCCGCGGGCCCCGCCCCGGGGGACCGGGAAGTGACTGGTCACCTCGCCCCCGCGGGGCGGCCGCCGGGGCTCAGCCCTGCGCCCGGGAGCCCGCGGGGGACCCAGCCGCCCGCGGACCGCGTTCTCCTTCCTCCCCCGCTGCGGCGGGAGGCGGGGCGAGGGGCCCCCGCGTGACCCGCCCCGAGCCCGGAAGGAGCAGGGGGGGGGGGGGGGCCGATCGGTGCGAACTCCGCGGGCCTGGCGGTCGGCCGGGAAAATAAAAGCGGTTTGGATGAAACACGTCCGTTGTCTGCCTGGCTTCCCCGGCGCGGAGGGGCGGGGTGACTCGCGGGGACCCCCCCCCCGTCCGACCGGCCACCACGTGGGTGGGGCGGGACCCGCCCCGTCTCCACCCAGGCCGCGTGGGTGGCGCCGTCCTCCCCACTTCGCGGGGAGGGGGCGTCCCTGTCCGAATTGGGGACCCTCTCAACTTGAGCTCGGGACCGAGGCTGAGCGCACGGCGGCTCGGGGCGGGAGGCGACTTGGCAGCCTCGGTTTCTCCGTCTGTGAAATGGGCCTGGGCGGACCCAGCTCCGCTCTGCCCGGCCGGCTGGGGGGGCGCGGGGCGGGGCGGGGCGGGGCGCGCGCTCCCGAGGACAAAGGAGGCGCAGGTGCGGGACGCCGCGACCCCGCGGGGAGCTGACCTCGGAGCACGCGGGAGACGGGCCCCGCCCCAGCTCTGCCCCAGGCCTCCGGCTCCGAGCCCCTCCCCGGGAGACGGTGGGGGTGGGGAGCTCGGCGCCAGACACCGTGACCGACCCACGATCACCCCAGGGGCGGAGGGGGGTCTGGGCCCCTCCCGCATCCTGTCACAGGAACCGCGGGCCCTTCCTTCCGCGGGAAGCCGCTGGGGCCGGGCCCGCGGGGAGGGGAAGGGGGGCGCCCGCCGCGCCGTCGCGGACCAGCCCCCCCCCCCATCGCCGCGAGCAAACCACCCGCGCCCTGTACCCCGCGGGACGCCCCCCCCCCCCAGTCTCCACCCAGGACATCAACTTCAGTTTAGGCTCAGCCAAGAGATCGGCTGCCCCGGCCCTGGGATGCCCACTAGACACCCCCCACCTCGCCCCTGGCGGGGGCGCCCCATCTCCACACAGGCCTGTCATCCCAGGGAAGGCTGACACCCGAAGACCACAGTTCGACACCAGCCTAGACAGGAAAGTCTAGGAGAGTCTTTTATGTCCAGTTAACCCCCAAACAATCCAGAAGAGGCCGGGCGCCTGTTGAATCCCAGCTACTCAGGAGGCTGAGCTCTGAGGTCTGGTTCTGGGTCGGCCTGGGCTGCAAAGTTCATGAGATTATCACCACCAGAAAACCAGAAGAGCTGCTGTAGCTCAAAGTGGTAGAGCTGAGTCTTGATCAGGAAGAGTTCAGGGGGCAGCGTCTGGGTCCTGAGTTCAAGCCCTACCACTGGCCAAAACAAAAAGCCAAAGTGGGGTTGTGGTTCAAGTGGTAGAACACTAGCCTCGAACACAAAGTCACCAGGCACCCACCTTGTGTGTGAACTCTGGGCCTTGTGTGTGAACTCTGGGCCTTGTGTGTGAACTCCGGCCTTGTGTGTGAACTCCGGCCTTGTGCTCTCCCTTAGCTTTCCCCCCTCCACACGGGCACTGTGCCACTAGAATCACAGCTCCATGTGGAGCGTCTGGCTGGTTCACCAGAGTTTCATAGACTCTTCAGGCCACAGGACTGGCACCCACTCACACCATGCGACAACCCCGCCCCTGAACCGCACAGGGAGCATGAATGCACCCCTTCTCTGTGTGGCTTTACCTCTCCCGGGCTGCAGTTTGGGGACAGTAATTGTTCTTGTCTCTTTGGTTCCTGGAAAGGGCTGAGGGCCAGGGATGTGGTTGGGGCGCAGAGCACTTGCAGACTCTGGGCTCCATCCTCAGCACGGGAAAGAGGGGTAATAATAATAATAATGGTCAAGCTGGTGGGGGGGGGGTGAGGGAGAGACAGAGGAGGTAAGTCATGTAAAGGAAAAGTAATCAAGCAGTCCACTTAACTGCTAACCCCATGATAAGTTTTTTCCCCCATCTCCTGGCCCTTGGGCTGTGTCTCAGCTGCCAGATTGAAGAAGCTGGTGGCTCCCACCCTGCCATTTCCCTCCCCAGGCCAGGCAGCCAGATTCACAGAGCTCATAAAGCACAAAATTACACCCTTTTGTCTCTCCCAGTTCCCCTGCGTATCCCTTCCACACCGGGGCCACTCTGCTGGGAGAATTCCACAAGTGTTTTCCAGCCCCAGGGCCTTTGCACTTGCTGCTTCTAGGGCTCCCAGTCCTCTTCCCTGTAAGTCTTTTCTCCCTTGGGGGCTTGAGTGAAATGTCACCTGCTAGGTCAGGTGTTGATGGCTCATGCATGCCCATAATCCCTGCTAATCAAGAGGCTAAGAGCTGAGGATCGCGATTCAAAGCCAATCTGGGGAGAAAAGTCTATGAAACTCTAGTTAATCAGCCAAAAGCTAAGGAAGCGCACAAGGCCCTGAGTTCAAGCCCCAGTTACTGGCACATCCTTAGAAAAGTCACCCCTTGGAGAAAACTTTCTTTGGTTACCTCATCAAATATCCCTCCAATCTCCCACTGCTGAAAGGTGTGTGTGTGTGTGTGTGTGTGTGTGTGTGAGAGAGAGAGAGAGAGAGAGAGGGATTTGGTGCCTGAATTTTCATTCATATAATTCTACCCCAAGCCAAAGTCTTTCATGATCATTTATTTATTTGTGGTGCTGGAGATTGAACACCAGACCTGGGTTGAGATGCAAGTTCTATACCCCAGTGGCACCCAGTCCCTGAATGCTTAATTTATTCTCATTTAATAGAATGGCTTCACCTCAGCCCTTAAAATACATTCTCCCCAAACATCCAGCGATTCAGGGTCAGGATTTCGGTCTTATCTGTGAAACAACCACACTCATCTAATTATTTATCTTTGACTTCATCTACTGGGTAATCACTCAATCTACTTAGAGACTAACAAAGCAAGGTTCACCATGCACTGTGGGAAGCAGTAGTCGGCGTGAGGTTGCAGGCATTTTCAAGCATGGCATTGCATGCCTATAAACCCAGTGAATCAGGAGGCTGAGATTTGAGGATTGTGATTCCAAGTCAGTCTGGGCAGGAGAGTCCTTGAGATTCTGATCTCCAACTAACAAGCCAAAAAAGAAAAAAGCCAGAAGTGGAGCTATGGCTCAAGTGAGTGCCAGGCTTGAGCAGAAAGCCAAGTGAGATTCTAGGTAATTTATTAAACCAGTTAAATACAATTGGATGGAAGAGGGTAGAGTCCTTGCGTTTCAACCACAGCGCCGTGTGCACACACACACTTCTGCGTAGACAGTCCTGTCTTATCTACAACCTGCCAGATCCAGCTCTCTGGCCCCACTGACCTACTTTTAACATCTATGCTTCCTAATCACAGGGACTTTGCATTTGCTACACGCACACACACACACATCTCTCACAACTGCTGTTTTTCCTTTCTTTTGGATGAGATCAGGATCTGGGCTCCTGTCTGATGCTTTCGCTGGTTGGCTGGCCCTCGACCACCTGAGCCATACTTCCAACACCTCTCTTTCTTGTGTGTGTGTGTCAGAACTGGGGTTTGAACTCAGGGCCTCCAGCTCTGCTCTCATTGGCTGTTTCATTTTTATTGTTCGCAGAAGTGGGTGCTCAGAAGCTTCATCTCCACGTCTGGCCTTTGGCCGGTTAGTTGGACAGGAGTCTTGTGGACTTTCCTGCCCTGGCCTGATTCAAACCTGGACCCTCAGATGGCAGCCTCCTGAGTGAGCAGCAGGGGTGACAGGCGGGAGCCGCCGCTCGGGCCCTGCTCCGGGTTTCCCGCTGTCCCCTCCTCTGCGCTCTGGGCTGGACCCTTCCTTGGAGGCTCAGAGGCCCGGGATCGGGGACAGCCCTGACCGGATTCTCAGGTCTCCTCCCCTCCCCTTAACCAGCCGGGCGGAACCCAAGGGCCGGGCCGGGCCACCCGTGGGGACCAGCCCGACCGGTTCACCCAGTTCCACGGGCCGGCGGCGGGACCACACGGGCCCGGCCTGGTTCCTAGCCGGGCGCAGCCGGACTTGAACCCCGCTGGGGCGGTGTGTGCCAGGGGCGGGGCGCCGGGAGTAACTAGGCAACGCGCGGGGCGGAGCCTCCCATGTCAATCACGGCCGGGGCGGGGCATGCAAATGAAGCCCGGGCCACGCCCCTCTCCCCACAGCTCGCACTCACGTCGACTCGCCCTGCGTGGGGCCGCGCCCCGGGGTGTCCCGCTCGGCTGCCTCTTCTTTTGGGGGGACTCACGGGGTAGAGCAGCTGCCCAGCAAGCCTGAGGCCCTGGGTTCGATCCCCGGGACTGAAGCGCAGGGGGAGGGGGAGCGCTTGGAGCCACCCTGCCTCCTCTCCAGGCCGCGCACCCGGCCCCTCCGCAGGCGGAGCTCCGAGGCCGCCCCGGCCCCTCCGCAGGCGGAGCTTGGAGGATGGGGCTCGAAGCCAGCCCGGGCAGGATGGCCCTGAGACTCTCACCTCCAATGAACCACACACGCACGCACACGCACGCACGCACGCACACACACACACGCAGGTTAGTAGAGCTGTGGCTCCCGCGGTAGAACCGCCAGCCTTGACCAAACATCGCAGGGACTGGGCCCGACCCGAGTTCAAGCCCAGTGCGGCACACGCGTGCGCACACACACGCACGCACACACACACACGCACGCACACACACACACGCTTGCAGTCCCAGCCTGAGGAGTAAATGTCAGCCTGTCCCAGGTCACAGCCCAACCTCTTCAGAAAGCGGGAGGAAGAGAGAAACCGTCTGTGCTCGCGGCAGGCCCGGCCCGAGGCCCCCTCCCCCCCCCCCGCCGGCCCCCGCCCCCCCCCCCGCCGGCCCCCTCCCCCCGCCGGCCCCCGCCCCCCGCCGGCCCCCGCCCCCCGCCGGCCCCCGCCCCCCGCCGGCCCCCTCCCCCCGCCGGCCCCCTCCCCCCGCCGGCCCCCTCCCCCCGCCGGGCCCCGCCCCCCGCCGGGCCCCGCCCCCCGCCGGCCCCCGCCCCCCCCCCCCCCCCCCCGCGCCAGCCACACCAGCCCGGCCCGCGTTAATTGCCTTGGTCCGTGCACATCTGGCTGCCAGCTGCCGGTCCCCCCCCCCCCCCCCCCCCCCCCCCCGCCGCAGACCACCCGCCCGAGCCCCGCTCATCAGAAAAGGCCGCGGGCGAGGCGGGACAGGGGGACA